CTCTTTCCCGTCAAGGTGGCCGGTGAATCTGTTGTATTGGCTACTGGAGTGAGAGAGCCTAGTGGACCCTGGGAGCCTGTAGTTATGTTGTTTCGTAAATGTTGTAAAGGTCAGGGGGCTAAAGGGACACTGGAGGGGTGATCTTAGCTCTGTGAACTTTCTCGCACCAGCAGGAAAAGCAAGAAAAGAAGTAGGATTCCCAAGTACAAAGAGAGGGTAATCCCTGAGGTAGGGAGAGCTGAGCTGAGCTGGGAGGAGGGTAGACCTGAGTTTGGAGAAAGGAGAATGTAGCAGAAATGGTATTTCAGCAGAGAAGTTGTGTTTCAGAATGCAGTGCCATCTGTGAGGATGGAGAGAGGTTTTGAGGGAATCCTGACCTATTTTCTATGCTGCCTTTTGCAGTCTCCAGGTGAAGCCTACATACCCATCAGGTAAAAGAAGCAGTCAGGGGTGTCACATGTGATTCAGCAAATTCTGTTCCCCAGAGCTTTTAATTTCACCCCCTACCCCTTCAAGCCCTTCTTCAAAATATGTAGTGAGGCTCTTGCATATGCAAATTTGTTCCGTTGTTATTTGGCCCTCTGCCCCTCATATTTCTTTGGAGATTGTCCTTGCTTGGGGTTTGAGAGTGCCAGCAACAGCAGTCCTGTTGCATAGGTGCAAATTCTCAGTCAGTGGTTCCTACTTTGTGAATGGGCTAATGGTGGGAAGAGGAAGCTGCTGCTTAGAGCAGAGGTGAATTAGGGGACTTCTGGTTAAGGTGCTGGACCCTCTGGTCAGGCAACTGGGAGGCCCTTACAAGTCTTTGTAAGAGGTGCATTAGAAGAGAGAGGATGAAGTGGGGCAGATTTTTAAACCGAACAGCCGAAGAGCGTAGTGTAAAAGGGAGGAGGGTAAGTCAGAAGACCCCTTGCAGTTCAGCTGGGGAGATGATGGAATCTAGTGTAAATCCCAAAGGATGAGTTCTGTCAGCACTTGTAAATCAAGAAAGGTGGAAAAGGTACAGGAGCAGGAGTGAGTGTCGAGATGCCTCCTCCCCAAAGCTGTGTCCTGCCCCTTTTTTCCGGTATGTCTCTGTTCTGTCAAACCTCTTGTTTCCTCTTAATATTTTGTAAAGCCTCCCCCTAGCCCTTATTCCCTGTTTACCAGTGAAGGGAACCAAGATGGAAATACCATGGCTGCTTGACAGAGCTGGAGCAGGGGAGATAATAACTTCTACTCTGACTGCAGGAAGGTGGGGAACTAACATTGCTTTTTAAATTTGCTGTAGGGATAAACAAGTTGTTTCTTTGTCAGGGAAGTGGACAGAGTCTCATTGTATTTGGGGGGGGACATTTCTGTTGTTTTTTTTTTTTTTTTTCCCCCCTCTCTTTTTTAAGTGTGTGTTGGGGGGGAGTTCATCATTGAGTGTTTCCAAGAGAAATGAGGAATCCCAGACAACTTCAACATGGAGTCAGCCGTTATCTCTGCTGCCTCAGGTTGGGAATGATACATCTTGGAAGCATGTGTGATGGGTTTCTGTGGAAAGTGGTACCAGAGACAACCATGAGAGACAGCCTCTGGTAGGTGCCAGTTAGTGCTTTGCAGAGGATGTTACTGAGAGCCGGCCCTGTGGAAGTCTGAAAACACCATCGGAAGAAAAATAAACCAAGATGGCTCCTTCTGCGTATCCAAGTGCTCCTCATTTGAATATTTGCCTCATTTGCATATTAAGTTCTGTCTCATTTGCATATGTAAATACATGCCGGTCAGTGTGCAAATTAGCCTCGTTCCTCTGCCCCTGAAATAAATGTGTTGTTAGTGCGTGGGAAGGCATTGGGTGGGCAGCATGGAGCTCTGCAGGGTGTGGAGGGGAGGGATGCCAGCCTGTCACGGAGAGGAGAGGGGTCCATGCAGGCCCCTCCAGTGTGGTGTGGTCCCCCATGCTTTGTGTCAGTGGTCAGGGAGAGAGGAGCGTGGTCTCACGAGTTTATTTTTGTGCATGCTTTCTTAATAAAAAGAAAAAGTGAATGTTTATGGTTTAACTCTTTTGGTTCCAGTATTGACTTTTTTTTCAGCGGCGCCCGTCAGGTGGGCTCAGTTTCCACCTGCTTACCTTAGAAACAGAATTTGGGTGTGGACATTGCTAAATTAACAGTCCACACCTATATGGACTTAGAGAATGAGACTTTTTAGGATGTCAGTAGAAAGAGTCGAAAGTTCTCACGTGGCTGTACGCAGGGCACTCAGATCAGTGAGTCTTTCAACTTGTGCTCCCCAGAAAGGCAAAGTGAAAACTATACCAGTACTTAGTGGCTGTTTGTCATACCATTTGCTGACCATACTCCTTTACAGAATCACAGAATCATTAAGGTTGGAAAAGACCTTTAAGATCATCAAGTCCAACCATCAACCCAACATTACCAAGTCCACTAAACCATGTCCTGAAGCACCACGTCCACACTTTTTTGAACACTTCCAGTCATGGTGACTCTACCACCTCCCTGGGCCGCCTGTTCCAATGCTTGACCACTCGGTGAAGAAGTTTTTCCTAATATCCAATCTAAACCTCCCCTGGCGCAACTTGGGGCCATTTCCTCTCGTTCTATCACTAGTTACTTGGGAGAAGAGACCAACACCCACGTCGCCACAACCCCCTTTCAGGTAGTTGTAAAAAGCCGTAAGATCTCCCCTCAGCTTCCCCTTCTCCAGACTGAACAACCCCCATTCCCTCAGCTGCTCCTCATAAGACCTGTGCTCCAGACCCCTCACCAGCTTTGTTGCCCTTCTTTGGACTCACTTGAGCACCTCAACATCCTTCTTGTAGTGAGGGGCCCAAAACTGAACACAGGATTTGAGGTGTGGCCTCACCAGTGCAAAAGACTATGGAAAGACTAACACAAAAAGCAGATTTTAAACCACTTCCTTAAGAGTACCTAGTAAACATACTTCTGCTTTTCAGGAGCAGGGAACATTCGAGCTTTGGAAACACCCCTAAATAGCCTGACTGGACAAAATTTTTGTTTTCCTCTACCAGAAAGATGAGGAGCACACTCATACTTCCATAAGAAGCACACCTCTTTTGTAGAGAGCAAGACATGACTGTGTCCCATCTTCTTGGGGTCAGACTAGAGGTTCTCACTTCTCAATTCCAAGGTTTTACCAAATGTCTGATAGTCCAGCAGCCACCTAATTTGGTTCATCAATGACCAGTTGCTCAAATTCTGCTGGTGTGCCATCTTAAAATGCATTTGGATAGTTTTGGGCTACTTCTTAAAAGGAAGAATTGGGACTCTGGTGGTGGAGGGAGTGTTGGGGAGACAGTGAGTGAGTGCATGCTAATGAACATAGCTACAGCATGTGCTTTGGACCAGTTATTTCTGTACAGTGATGTATTTGCCACGACAAAGAAATATCTTGGGCATCTACCAGGCCATGAAAGTCAGTTCAGTGCAGCTGACTGGGGCACTGCTATAAGGAAATGTAGTACTATCCTCTAGGTATATCTTCAGGGAAAAAAAAAAAACCCTCAGAACCCAAGTATAGTCAAAGGAGAGGAAAGATGGGATGACAGATTCCAAGGAGAGAGAGCAAAGTCAGTTTCATCTGCAGTTTATCAGAGACAGGAGATGTAGAACATAGACATATGCAAATAACTAGGCATTCTCATCTAGCAATTCAGTGGTTAAACTACATGATCCCACCACAAATCATTCTGCAAGCCTGCTTTCTTCTTTAAAGGTTAAAGTACTCTGTCTCCTTTACCAGACTCTTCCCTCAGATTATTACTCTTGGTAATTCTAATTTTCCATCTCTCTAGAGTAGGATATAAAGGGGGTTAACTGTTCTGATCTGAACCACCTCAGTGACCTGTGTGTGGATCTGCAGATTAATCAAGTGTGTTAGAGAAAAGAAAGCTGTTAAGTGGAGAGTGACGTTCAGGGCCATAGCACACGCTTTCTACAGTGGCGGTCGGAAGTCCTGCATTACACAGTGCTGCTAACGTCCTTCTCTGTTGAAGTCTTGCTTTTGTCAAGGGAGTATGGGGTCGAGCGTGTTGGTTCCTCAGCAAAGGCACCTTCCAAGATTCCTTGCGCTGATTGCCGTGCCTTTGCCCTGAAGTCCCGTCCCACAAAAACATAGAGCAGGGGGTTGATGCAGCTGTTGGCATATGCAAGTGCTGTAGAGAGGTGATCCCATAGGATCAATGACTCCATCCGTCCTGTTCCAAGAGTAGGTACAAGGGACAGAATCCCAACTACATGGTATGGAGCCCAGCAGATGAAGAACGCAGCTACCATGAGCACAACTGTTCGCAGCATCCTGATGCGTGGCTTGTGAAACTGATTCCCATACATTCTGAAAGCAATAAGGGCATAGCAAACTGCCATTATGCCAAAGGGGAGTATAAAGCCAAAGACAGCCCTAGTGATGTTTATTACCACTAATGCAAGGGATACAGAATAATCACCTTCATAGAAATTTCCCCATGAGTCATTACCGTTGTAGGCTAAAGGTGAGTATTTTTCCAGTAACTCATTTACAGAACCATCCATATAATCTAGCATTTCGTCATCTCCAAAGTCATATCCACACTCAGTTTTGTCATCATGAGCACTAGTCTTACGGTAGTAAAAGACAGGACAACAGAAAATGAAGGCCAGGATCCAAATGCCACTGCATATTAGTGATATAAATTTCACTGTTCGATGATTTTGACACCAGACAGGTTTCATCACAAGGAGGCACCGGTC